GCGCGGGGTCAAAGTTTGCTGCAGCTGCAACAGTTGCTGCTGTTTCTGTTGTTGCTGTTGCTGCTGCTGCTTCTTGTTTGCTGTGTGTGGCATCTTCTGGAGCGGATTCCCATGAACCGAATGGCGCCCTCAGCAGCTGGGGCAGCAGGGGGCAGCAAGCGAGTCGTGTGACCACGAACGCTGACATGCTGATGCTGATGCAGAAGAATCACTGAGCAGAAATGTGTTCTTGTTTAAAAAAAAATTTATTTCTTTAATTTTTATTTAAGAAATATATATTTTTTAATCAAGAAAAAATATTTGTAGAATGTAAAAAGTATTTCACCAGCTTAAAAATTTATTTAAATAAATAAATAAATATTTATTGCTATAAAATATATAATTTTTTCGCTCAGTGCATCAGCAGCAGTTGTTAACTTTTGCGCTGTCAATGATTTTGTGGTCCTGAGCAATTGAATTGATGCTGCTGACTAAACAGGGCGCAAGGCAAACTCAAACTCAAACTCAGACTCGGACTCACGGGTGGCCAAGAACCATATAGCCATATAGCCATATAGCCAGTGGCCAGTGGATCACGACCAGACCCTTCACGAACGTGAGATGGCAGATAAATCAGTGCTGCAATAGATGCCCTATTGTTACACTTGAAAAAAGAAAAATGCAATCAAAAAGTTAGCCTATTATTGAACTTTAAAAAAATGCACTTCAAAAAATAAGGCCCATTTACATTTGACAAAAATTTGCAAGATTTACAATTAAAAAAGGGAAAATTTTATAGACAAAATATATTCTTAAATTTAATTTTTATAATATAAAAACAGCCTTAGATCTCCTTAGAATTGCCTTATAATTCCCAAGTGCTTATTTGACAAAGTTCTGTGGTGAAAAGAGCCTATATTTCCATTGCTAAAAACCTAATAAAATATTTATCTATTAAAGCTTTAATTTCTACAAAAAAAAAAACTATTATTAACTATTTTCCTTAGTGTAAAAAACCTAAAAATCTCTGCTGGGCTAATGAGCAAGAGCGAGAGGCAATCGCTTCGTTTTCCCAGCTGCAACATGTTGCTGGCGGATACACGGCAGCAGCAGCAACAGCAGCAACTTCAGCGGCAGCAACAACATTGATAAGCTCAGACATAGAAAGTTTATTGACTTTAAGGAACCAAACGAAGAGCAAATGAAAACAATATTTAAAAAAATAGAGGGGATCGAAAACAAAAAGCCATGAGAATGGTAAAGGGTTTGGACTTTGTCTAATCGAAATTGAAACGTAAATCAGTTTAAGAAAAGCAAAAAGGAAGTATAGAAAAAAAAGCAAGAAAAAAACATTTTGCTGGAAAGAACATTGAAGTGAACGAACTGTAAATTTTTTATTATAAACAAAAAAAATTATTTTTTTCGTTATAAAAATATATAGCATTGTCTTGCTGATACTCTAAATATTAATTATTTTTAATAATAATAATCAGCCTCTGCAAGCAGCCCCCTTTTCCAGCCGTAGTTATCTCCTAGACTTTTGTGTTTTTTAGGCTGTCCCTGACATCGGTTTATTCTATAGTCTATAGGCTATAGTCTGTAGATATGGCGAACGATGACAGTGAGCCAGCCAGCTGATGATGAAGATGTTGTGTTGATGATGAGGCGGCTGGCTGTCTTCCCCCTGTCATTGCCAAGCGAATTAATTGAGCTTTAATCGTGTCTTGGTCGCCGTTCTTGTTTGGAAACTCCATTTGGCAATTGACAGAGTTCAAGACCCACGAAAAATATATTTTTTAAGATTTTTCAAGACTAAACAAACTGGATTTATTATAAACATTAAAAGACTTGCTTACATATCTCTGGATATACTTTTTTACTATTTTAAAATTTAGGAAAATATGTTTAATATTCTTTTTTAAAGATTTAAAAGATTATTGTATTTTAGCAAGTGTATTTTATTGCTAAATTAAGCTTTGTTGTTTTTGTTGTAGCCATAAGAATTTTGCTTAAATTAATATGTATGTATATATAGATGTTCGTAAATCATCAATAATATAATTTCGCCTCATAAAAAAAAAAAACTCCCCTACACATGGCTTTTTAGTATCTGAATGCAAATTCGTTTGCCGTCATCTTAATTTTAGCCACACTTCCCCCGGAACCCCTTTTACCCCTTTACCCTTACCCCTGTTCCCCCTCCCCCTCTCCATATACACTCGGGAATTTTTGTGGTCGTTGAAGTTTTTCATTGTTCATAAATTTTAACGGACTTATAATGATAATCATTTATATGTCTTCGTCGCCAGCTCGTCGCTCGTTGCTCGTTCGTTGTTATTGCAGTTGTTTTATTGCCAGAAGAAGTCAAAAGATGATGGGGGAAGAAAACAAGTAACAAAAATTTGCGTTTAATTTAAGCTTTATACAAAAAAAAAAACAACAAAAAAAGCGCTTAATAAAATGCTTAAAAAAAATTAATAACAAGCAGCGCAAGTCAGTCTGTCGATTGCAAAAGGCGCTAATTTGATTTCTTGGCGGCGCCACAGCAACTTGCAATATTGCAGCAATTGTTGTTGTCTTTTTTTTTCTTATTTTTGTGGCTGTTTTTTTGCTCAGTTACATTTTTGACATTTAAACTTGTTTTTTGTGTTGTTTTTTTTGGCACTTCTTACTCGTCGCTTTTATTTCTTTTTATTATCTGCCTTGATTTGCTCTTCTCGCTTTCTGGCTTTCTTGATTGCTCGCCGGACAAGTTTTCACCCGGTGACAGGGTCCGGCCCTAGCCCTGCCACGCCCCCGCGCAACAGCCGCCCCCCTTGAGAGTCCCATTAGCAAAAACACGAACTTGAATGTCTAGTCTGGGCGACATAGAAAATTTCGTGCCTCAATGCAAATTTGTGTTCATTTATTGGTAGCCGCTTATATAAGCCATTTATTATTTGTGCTGGGAAGCTGTTTCTACACTGTGGGAAAATATTGTGATTTTTAAGGAATGAAGAATTTAAAAGGAATTATTAAATATAGGTAATAATAATAATAAAATAATATAATAATAATAATAAAATAATATATCATATAATAAATATAATAATATTAAAAATAATATAATATAATAAATATTAAAAATATTCTTATAATATATTAAATTTTTGCGAAGCTAAAAGTTATAATTCTTAAACTTCTCTAGATTTTATTTCTGTTTAATATTTTTTTAAATTTTAAATATAAATATATTTACAAGCTAGGGGTTTTTAATGGGAGTTAAAGTAAAACAGATTTAAATTTTATTTTTTAAATTTAAAAAAATTTTAAATTTACTTGTACATTTTAAAAAAGAAAATTAATTTATTGTTTAAAATTTTAAAAAAATTTAAAACTTATTTTAAAAATGTAGAAAGTTTATTAAATTTTATTTTTGAAATTAAGACTTGAAATTAGATTTAAGATAATATATTTTTTTTCCCCGTACACAATATTTTATCTCAGAAAAATATTATAATATTTTATAAAAAAAAGAAATCAAATGGAAATTTTAAATATTTGTATATATTTTAAATATAAAAAATATAAATAAATATGATGAAATATTAAAAAAAATAATAAAATAAAAATAAAAATTAATAGGCATTCATATTAATTTTTAAATATTTTTTTAGGCATCTCAAATCACTTTTCTTGGCCTGTATCCGTAAGATATACAATATCTTTACTTGGAAAGGCTCAACGGAAAAATGCTCCTTGAAAATCGAAATGTCAAAGTTGTTTGATTTTCAAATCAGCAGCGGCAGCAAAGCATGCTATCAGATACATCAGATACATCTGATGTGTCTGGGATTGAAATAGACACATGGCATTGCGTGAGGGTTAAAGCTCCCCCGCTGAGGGGGGTTAAGGCAGGGGCTGATTGGGGTTCGTTCGCTCATCGAGGCGTAGAATTAAACTGTCAAATTCAACAAATAACTGGATTTGTAACACTGAAAAGGAATACGAATAGAACATAGGAAAAGCAGATGCATAAAAAAAAAGAACAAGAGCAAAGAGAATAGAAAAACGAAGAGGGGGAATACCCGAGGGTGTGCTTTAATGCCATCGAAATGTCTAAATCAATTAATTCGAATTTAAGATGGATTCAAAGGCAGAAATTCTTTTCACAGACCCTAATTAAGTGGTAATATCTGTATTTGTGAGTTGATTTGATTGAAAAACCGTTTTTTAATTAAGATTTTTAAGGGAAGACGAGGCCTGAAATCGAGCTTCATTGATTTTTGCTCCAGCAAGCTGTCATAATAAGATGAATTAATTTTTAAAGAGGAATTCTAGGTTGATTTCTTATATTTAAAAATATAACAAGAATTTAATCGTACATTTTATTATTTAAAAAATTTATATACTTTTTTTTTAAATTTTATAAAAGATAAAAAACTATTTTTTTATTAAAATAAATTGTATAAAAATGTTTAATACCAAAATGTATAATTAAATTATTTTCATATTTTTTAAATTTAATTTTTTAAAAGTATTTTACATTTTAAAAAATTTAGAAAAGAAAAATTTCTCATAAAAGCTGACAAAATGAGATTAATTTATGTAAAAGCAGAAATTCTAAGTAGCAAAATTATATTACAATTTTTCCGGGTTTATATATTTAATGTTTTTGTTTTAAAAAATGTTAAAAAATATATAAACATAAATTATTAATTTATAATATAAAATCCTTATTATTTCTTCAACTTTCCATCGCTTCAAGTAGTCCTCTTGTGAATTTATAAATTGAAATAAAATAAACCGCGTATCGTTTGTCCGGATGTTGTGAACATTTTTTCGAAACAAAAAGCACAACAACAACAAAAAAAAAAAAAAAAAGAAACTAAAATCCATGGAATTTATTGTCAAGGTCACCGATTTGTTTAGTGCTGCGCCATTCCCGAATTTCCGCTTTGTATTATTATTTTTCTAGGTTTTATTCCATTTTATTTATCACACTTGTAGGCTTTAATTTTCTGTTCTTTTCTGTCTTTCAGAATTTACCCACAAGAAGAAACATTGGAAAAAAATAAACCAACACGGAAACCAACCAGAAAACCACCTGAAATTCAACCGAAAGGAAAAAGCATTGTATACATCCTGTTTCGAAGATTGTCACCGAGATTGGAAAGAATTTTTTTGCCCCTGCATTTATATATATCATTTGGCTTTATGTGGCCTGATTTGGGGTGAGTACCTATGCTTACATACATTTATCTCTATATATATATATTTATATAAATATGCTAAAAGGGATATAGTGCAGTCGGTTCTCCTCCTTTTGTTTCGGGTCAGTTCATAGATAAAGGGTACAAAATACTCTCACCAAAAGTAGGGTATTACTTCTTCTTAGAGAAATAAAATATTAAAGAGATTTTTAATATATTAAATATTATTTATATATTTTTTTATAAATATAATAAATTTAAAAATATTAAAATCTTGAGGTGTAACTAATTTTTATTTAACTTAAAATTTGTAAAGCTCTAAGAAAATATTAAATATTTTTTTATATATAATATATATATTTTTTATAAATATAAAAAAATTTTAAAATACTAAAATCTTTAATTTAAACTTATTTTTATTTAATTTAAAATTTTTAAAACTATGAAAATATTGTTTTATTTTGTTTTTTAATGTTTAAACTTTTCCTAACCACTTCAAGTAGTGTATTTAAGAAAACTTTTTGATTTTCCTTCGATTTTCCTTTGCATATTTCGCAGCTGATAAATTTCGTGCCATAAATCGCGAAAAAGGGAACAATTTCGCGGGGGCGTTGACAAGTTTTTACACCCAACACCCACTCTTCCGCTCGCTTTTCGCTTTGCTTTCGTTCGATTCGGCCTTTTTCTCATTTTCGCACTTTTCCTTCTCGTTTTTCTTGTTTTCCCCCCCGGGTTTCCCCTCTGTTTTAGTTGATTAAACACAACTGTTTACGCTTGCTTATTGCCGTCGCTGCTGAAAGTGCATTTTTATGGCACATTTTGTTGTAAAACACAACTGTGGCTTCTCTGTATGGGTATTAATGGAATTGTTTTTTATTTATTTTTATTTGTTTTTTGTTCTTATTTTTATTTCGGGGGTATTTTTTTAGGGGAGAGAAGCAGAGAAAGAGGAGCACTTCCGACCCGATTAAGAGTCGATAACTGAAATGGTTAACATTTGCCCCGATTTATTTATAACAATTTAAATTGAGGTATTTTCAAGGGGAATAAATATAAAAAATTTATAAAACGGTATTTATTTATTTACAATTCAAAAGGAATTTATTTATTAAATAGAATTAAATTATTGATTAAATAAATTAAGTAATACAATGTTTAATTTTTGTATAGTTCACAAGAACTTGTTTATTTCGCAGCATCAAAATTAAAAATAAATTTATAATTAAAAATAAATTAATTAAAAACTATATTAATTATATATTTTTATTATTTATATTTGTAGCAATATTCTTTGCTATTTTTTTTAACTTTTAATTAACAGAAATATATTAATATTTACATTTCTGATAAAATTTCTTTATTTAAAATTAAAAAAAAAAAAAATTATTTATAAAAGAAAGTACAATTTGAAAGATTTAAAGAATTTTTTATATTTTTCGGAGGCTTTAAAATTAATAATAAAATTTATAAGTAACTGAAAAAATACCCAATAAATCTTTAAAAAATCTCAATAATTAAAATACACTTTCCAACATAAAGAGAGTATTGCCCTGTTCACACCAACTGTTATTATTATTTTAATATTCTTTAATTTTTTTCTCTTCTCTCCTGGGAATTTTTTTGGCCATAAATTATGGCAGCTCCGAAATGCTGGGTATGTGCATAAATATTGCACTGTTACCGCACATTGAATAAAGGTTACAAAATCCAAATTAATGAACTCGTTCCTCGATTTGGCAAGCCTCGGCGACGGTTCGTGTTGGTTCAATAACATTTCAATTGCGTTGACATAATTTTAATTAAAATAAAATCGAAAACAAGAGCCGGCAGCAACACACAATGAATTTAAAGAGCTGCTGCTGACTCTGCTGAAAAAAAAATATACAAAAAAAAAGCAGAGTACAGAGCTAACGGGGTTAACCAGGCACCAAAAAGAAAATAAAAATCAAAAAAGCGCAGCTTAAATGTTGCCAGGGGGTCGTCGTGGCGATTAACATGGGAATTGCACTTGCCAGGGCTGCATGGCTAATTTTAACCGATTTTTTGTGGCCAGAGATCGGCGGAATTAATGCCAAACACGCACACTTGCGGCTATATAGAACGACTCACTTGCTGCTGCCGTTTTGATTTTGATTCCAACCCGGAAGTGATAGCACCCGACGACGACGACAACGGGTAGCTCCCTCCCGATAACTGACTCCGAAAGTCCAATGAATTAAATATAATATTAATAAATAAAAAAACGCATAACATGTCGAGCAAAAAGAGAGAGAAAGAAAAGCGAAGATCGTTGAGCTGCCTTGCTCTTGAGAAAAGATTATGCGGCGCTGGTTTGGCGAATTTTCTCCAATTCAGCAAAAGCGTTTAGTCATTAACTTTTGTTTTTTATTAAAATTTTATTTATATTTTTTTATATTTTTTTTTTATCGTAAAGTAAGCAAGTTGTAGAAAAATATTTTGAAAATAATACCATTTTAGTTGAGTAATATTAGTTAAAGCCTTTTAAAGACTTATAGACTTAATATTCCTGACAAAACAGTTGAGAATTATAAGGTAAATGATTAAAAAATAGTATAATTATTTTAAATATATTATCAATAATTTTAGAATTTTTTAAGGGCTGCTTACAATTTACAAGTAAAAGGAAAATGAAAAAATATAAGATTTATAAAAAATTTATGAAAAAGAAACCTGATAAAAAAAACCAGTTGGAAATTTTAGTGCCAGGCAAGTGGAAAATGAGCCATTTGTATACCTAAGACATTCTTTAATATATATTTTTATATTTATTTTTTTATAATATTTTTTTTTTAACATTTTTATATATTTTTTAATTTTAATAATTTCCAAAAATTATTTAAGTTTTTTTTTTTAATAAAACATTTTAAAAAAAACCCTCCAGACAAGGACAAGGGCTAATTTCCCAAGAATTTCTCACCGATAACAAAAAAACCCATAAAAAACTCTGCTCTATTCGAACTTTGAGTCTGCCCAAGCACCCTATTATTCCATTCATATATCTATCTATGTCACTGTGTCAGCTCATTTGGGTTAAACTAAACCCCAAACAACTAAGATGTGCTAATGGGAGACGAAATAACAAAAAACACCCTGATAAGATATTTACGAGCCAAAGATATGGATATATATATTGTTGTGTCAAAGTATCTGTTAAATCCGCTGCAAACAGCCATTAAATGAATCTCATGGCATCTCGCGTTTCATGTTCATATTATTCGACTTGATGCAATAACAATACAAATTATTTATCAATTAAGCTGTTACATTTAATTTAATTCAATTCACTGTCACCTACAGTTCACATATACATAACATATACTATATATATAGATAAAGCTCCTGCCTGCCTGCTCTGGCAGTAAAATTTATGCGAAAAGTTCAATTGCGTTCAAAATGTCAATAATTCGAGGTTGTTGTTCGATACGATTCGGGGTGCTCCTCTTCTCTGTTATCATCGACGACGACTGGTGTATTTTTGAGAATTGTCTCATGAATTTTGCATGCGACAATTTATTTATTTATTGATTTACTTGGGACATTCCACAACCGCGAATAGATATATTGTAGTACTTGGCATAGGTATAGTGTGGAGTTGTGACATTGTTTTTCACACACACACAACGATTTCCATTACCATACGGATTCCGATTCCCATTCCCATTCCCAATGCCTCCTCCCCCCTTCTCATGTCAAAGGTGTTGGCAATTTTGCAGTCAATTGGCATTAATTGAGTGTGAACACAAAAATATTTTTGTAAATTGCCAAAGGGGAGAGACTGCCACTGTGACCCCTTGGGTTTTGGTCCACTGATGTCATGTCGCTGCTGCTGCATTTTCCTGCATTTTCCGTGGAAATTTGTGCCAAAAACGGTCACCGCAAATGCGCCGCGCAATATGCAAATTGATTTGCCGAACAATTCATTTGAAAATGCGCTGCATAAGCCGCAAAGCTGCAGCCCGCAAAACACCAAACACAAAATACAAAATACAGAATGCCAAAAAGAATTGGAAACAAAACCAAACAAAAGTTTGTGACAAAATTCGGAAGGAAGGAAGCAAATTGTTGGCAAATTAAAAGGCATTCTTGGGATGTTTTCTTTAATTAATTAATTAGCTTGTATTGTTTATATAAATATTAAAAATTAATAGGGTTAATTTGGAAAGTTAAGGGAATAGAGCTTGGCTTTCATTTTGTTTCTTGTTATAGTTTTCATTTTATATATATATTTTTTTTATAAGAATTTTTAGAAATAGTTATGAGGAAAAAAAGAACTTCTAGAAATATTTATATAAAAAATAAAGAATTTCTAGAAATAATTATAAGGAAATTAGAATTATTCGAAGGATTAAGGAAATATAATTTTTATTTTTTAACTTAATTTCAATTAAATATCTTAATTAATTCCTTCTAAAAATATGTATTATTTGTTAAACTTTAATTCAATCTAAATTTATGCTTTCTTATATATTATTAAGAATATTATACTATTTATTCCATTACAAGTAAAATATATAAAAATATAAAATATATAAAAAAATAAAAAAAAAATATATATATATAGAGAGAACGTATAATTTTATAAATATTTCATTAAACTTTACCTTAAATAATATATTAAAATTAATTCCTCTTACAAATAAACATGTTTTACAAATAACATTTCATAAGAGGAATATGTTATTTACGATTATATATATAATCATCCAATTTATTCCTCAAAAAAATGCATACATTTCACTTTGAAAAAAATATATTAATTAAGCCTCAGTCAACTGCAATTCGCTGAAAATACTTATAAATTTAAATAAATTACATATTAAATAACAAAAAAAAAATAATATGAAGAGGGGATTCATTATAAAAAACAAGCTCTCCAGAGACCGGTTCGAATCCGCTTTGATGGTGATAACCTTTTCAAAGCAGTCGTAGAATTCTTTAAAATTTAAATTCAATTGCAAAGACACCTTGCAACTTTCTCGGCTGCGCAAAAAATAAAATAT